GGCGCGCAGCGGGGCCACGCCCCTGCACTGGCCGGCGCGCTCGGGCCACGCGGCGTGCGCTCGCGGCACTGCTAGCGGCCGCGCCGCGCCCGGCAGCGCGCGTACAACAGGGCCGCAACGCCGCTCGGACGTCGCCTTTCTCCGCGGCCCTGTGCCGCCGCGCCCATCACGCTCCCGCGGCAGCACCCGCTGCCGCGGACCCCGCCCCCCGCACACCGCCCGCGCCGCCCTACGAGGCATTGATGAGCACCAGGACCACTGACAACACGAAAAGGCGGACAAGAAAAGAAAGGCACAAGAGAAACACAGGGACAATAGAGATCACAATACCTCATTTAACAGCGCAAGTCTAAGTATATTAATTAGATACGTAACTGAACCATGCGGGAACGCCAGGTAGGCTGGCGGTCGTCACCGCGCCCAACATCTAGGACTTGCACGCGCTCGACCGTCGGACGCCGTGCGCACGCCGCCCTCATACGCCCACCGCCACAGCCCACGCCTTTTCCCTGCATGCGCCCCGCTGCCGTACGAGGCCGTGCAAGCAGGACCCGTTCCACTGGACGATACGACGAAAAAGCGACAAAGAAGAAGCCCAAAGAAACACAGACGGTAGAATAATCTCATTTAGCAGCGGAGTCTAGATATATTATTAGGTACGTAACTCAACCATGCGGAACGCCTGGTAGGCTGGCGGTCGTCACCGCGCCCAACATCCAGGAGTGCACGCCGCTCGACGTCGCGACGCCTTCTCTGACGCCGTGCGCCACGCCCTCACGCGCCCACGCACGCCCACGCCTGCTCCTGCATGCGCCCCGGCGCCCCACGAGGCCGTGCAGCAGGAGTCGTTCTACTGACGACACGAGAAGAGAGAAACTGACTGTGCTACTGTGGAAATGCGTGAAGCTGTGAAAGTGTTTCGAACAATAGTAAATGTCATTGTGGATTTCCAGGGAGTATATAACTCATTCAATAAAAATTCTCACGACACATAAAATACAGTCCAAACCATACTTCTGACAAAGAAAAAGCTCAAATAGAGTCCAAATATAGTATTTGGTACGTATGTGGACCATGCGGAACGCCGTCTGTTCACTTTGGTGAATCAGATTGTTTGTATTCTTTTCATTTGTGAACGTAAGGATCTTTAATTTTGTGTACAATATTTCTGGTTAATCTCTTTAAGATCAAGATAGGAGAGCTCTATTTTAAAATTATTTCTGCAGATAAAGTAGTGTATAATTGTACAGGAACTCACAGAATTTTTCTCGAGTGAGAGGGCAATCCAGGTACAAGTGTCCAGCTGACTTGATTTTTCTAGATTTTTTTTTACTTATTCTTACCGGTTAAATGTGTTTATCAAAGCTATGTACATCCGTAAAGAAATAACTCCCAAGAAAGTGAGAAACGGCGCCGCGATGAAATTTCGTGAACCGCTGAAAATACTTAGGACCTAATGCAAGCCTTATTCGATTTCAAGTGTCAAGAAAAAAGAGCTTTACGTCACACTCAGCGCAGACAACTAAATAAGATGTTCGTCAGGAACACTCTATTGTGTAAGATGTAAAATGTATTTTTCTCGATTATAAAATAAATATTTCATAGAAATATACTATGACTATGAATTTTCCCATTTTTATTCAATGCAGAACATCCCTGACTTCGAATGAGTAATCACACTTTGGGAATATTTCAGTGTGAGGTTTTTGGAGACATATTCAGAGCGTCCATTTAATAAATAATAAAAGGGAAGATTCAACTAGAATGGCGATACTGAGATGGTATTTTCTTGTCGATATCGATCTGAGAGGGAATCCATTCTTCCACTGTCCGCCCCTTGCCCAATCCTCCCAAGACGTAATGGTCGATGGTAAAGAAGGGAAGCACTTCAATTTAGTAAGGAAAGAAATGTCAAAACATTTCGCTACAGTAAATAATGAATTTATAACTATTAATATACCAAGTAATGTTATGAATGTTATTACAGCAGAGGCAAAATTTAAAAAACGAGGCGAAGCGTAACGGATCTGAACTTTTACTTTCGACAAGACAGTAATAACACTGTAACATTTCGTGGAATGTTCATTATGATTTATGCAAAAATTCAAAAAATTACATTGTTGCGGTAGTAAACAAATGATTTGTGTTGCTGCGGCACGTTAGTACAATATTGCGGTATATCTATTTAAACAATATCCGTATTCCGTGGATCGAGAAAAATGGATGCAAATAATTCTCGTGAACCTAAAGATATGACACTCGGTGAGGAAGTTGGCGCGTTGACTTCCAGTGGCGACATCTTTACATCCTCAGTAAATATGATTACTGGAGAAGAGTTTCATTTGGTGGAATGCCAGGAAAGTTAAGTTAATCTACCGCATATCTATTTTTCTAATTGTACTTTTAATAATACTAGAATTAACAATAATTACCCCCAAAACTTATATGAGTAACGTTTATTCTGAATTGTTTGAGTCTGATTTGTTTTGTACATCGCCATGTGTATTTCTTAACAAACATTTTATACGAGATAAATCGATGGTTGTTTATTTACGTTGCTACGTATGTTAGACGTCTTAAAATACAGGTATATACAAATGCACTTGACAAACCTGTAGGGGGTGATAGACTTATATGACAAACAATGACTGTTCTGCTTTTAACGTACTTAAAATCATTCCTTTAATGTACAACGTCATAAGTAAATCGTGCGCATTACTAATAGATGTGTGAATCATTGATAAATAACTACAAAATAAATTAATAAAGTACGTTACAACCAATTGATCCTGCCTCAATATTTTAAATATGCTTTTAAGTAATAGCAGCAAAATAAGTAATTTTCAGAAATTTAACACCACTTCAGATCGATGTCCGAAGCCACCCTTGGGCTGTTTTTTGTAGATATTTGCATTTCTAATCGATTGGTCTTGGTGCAAGGAGTGAAATGCTTTGTCAGTTTCCTGCCTTTTCAATTGCGATAAATTATCTCGATAAAGAAGATAATCTTTGTAACTTAATAAAAATTTGATACCTTCGTCGTTTTCCTTAACGAGTTTAAAGTTCTACAAAATTCCTGTATGGTCAGCTCTTGTGAGATTCAACGTACGTAAGGTTTCTACTAAGTTTAACTTTTACACCGATGTGTTTCGTAATACTATAATTCTTAACGAAATAACTGAGTTCTGAACAGATATTTCGCAATGTTTGTTCTCAAATCATTGAGGTAATTTCCGAAAGCACTTGCGTATGCTGAGGGTATAAAAGACCACCCATTTATGACTTAGGATAGAGTTTTCTGTAGTAATTATAGTATTTTTACACTAGTCGAATAAGTTGAGTATGTGTATTACAAGTGACGTGTTGCCGGCCTGGATAGTTGAGGTCGCGGTTTCAAATTCCGCCCCGGGCATGGATGCTAGTGTGTGTTAATGTTGTCCTTATGTGTTCCCCTTACAGTTACCCCGACGTTAAAAAACCACAGTGGTCTGTAAATGACCAAACATCTAAAAAGCGACCTAAACAAAGACGTAACGTATTTCAATCTAAGAAGCATTTTCGGTTTTCGGTGTTTTGAAAAATAATTGGAATTTTCATCGGTTCGTGTCTGATTATCGGAAACGTGAGGGGAATAAGTCATTGTCTAATGGCTGTATCATTTTTTTCTGGGGTCTTGTATTCAATTACAGGTAGTTGAACTTTTAAAAATAGATATTAGTGCTAAAAG